GCATAATTTTTAGGATACCTAAATTTACATTGTCCCATATTTTTCATATATCAAATCTATATAGATCCTAATTGAACCACACGAAATAAAATTGTTGTGTAATTCAACTTTTATAAATTTGTTCACAGAATATTGTTGGAACAGTCTCTAGAATGTAACGTTCCATTTTCTTCGTCATCTCTAATTTGAAGTTTATAACAGTAATATTCGTGACATTAGACAGTATTTTTTTTTTGCCTTTGATTTTGTAAGAATTGTTGTTCAACATTAAGAAGTCCATCTATTGAGGAAGACCAGTTAGATACTTGAAGAAGTTGTTTATTTTTAGACGTACAATGATTGGCTAAAGAAATGGGCTGTCCGAAGTAATTTTTGAATGCCACCCATTTTCTTCACGAGGAAACAACAGAGGATATTGTAATGAATCGTAACAATCATAGTAATAATATCTAATTGAATATGATCCCAATGAGTGTAAATGCGAATGTGAGGCGTAGAGATAACATTATTTGAGTCGTTATCAACCAATATAGTAGCAAGCTCAGAGACACTGGGTAAATTATGTGTTCGTTGGTCCAATGTAGAATCACATTTAAGTGCAATGTAGAAGTTAGCTAAGTTTGGAATGCATGTTAAGAATTTCAGAAACATGGAATATGGATTAATCTTTAGGATATCTAGTAACTTCACAACAATTGTTTGTTCAAGATTTTTGGGGAACATCATTTTGTTAATTATATCGTCTTCATTATCATAGAAGTAAACTTGTAAGTTTTTCACCTGATTATCATTGGAGAAGAGATTATTTATGAAATGATACATTTGTCCTTGAACTTTAAAGGTATATATACCTTGATTCCTTTTTGCTAATTCCTTATCATATTTTACTCAAAGTGAACATGTTATTGTATGTTGTGATGTAAGTTTGAAAATAATTGGATTCGTTTCTGATGTAAGAGAAATTAATTTTACAGTGCTACTTCTACAGCAAAAATCAGGGGATTCATATTGAAATCTTCTGGCTTTGCAGAATTTGCAGTTTGAAACTTTCTTTAAAAAAGCAGGGCTACAAGGCAATGGGTTGTTATTCGAACAACCCATTTGTCTCGGTCTGCGTTCTGCAAAATGAGAATACAACTTAGCAAAAGTTAAGTTAGGTATATGAATAGACCTTTCAATGTTGGTTGTCACTGAAGTAAACTGGAACGGTCATTACATGTTGTGGATGTTGATCCTGTAGGATTATGTTCATTAACCTATAGTATAGAAAATAACTATCTAATGATAGTTTATAAGTAACAGAAAAATTTAAAATGCAGTTGTGGCAAACCTATTTCGTAGACATTGTTACACTGAATCGGTTGTTCTTCCACAGAAGTAGTTAATGAGGAATGAGGAGGAAGAAGAAGTTTTTGAGGAAGAACTCTTTTTTTTTCAGCAGACATTTGTTGATAGGCGATCCAGCGTTTAAGATTTTTTGCAATATTTTGTGAATTACTAGTTTGTTCAGTTTGAGTAGCATTCATTTAAATTTTTTATCAGCCATGATTAGAAGAGCGCTTAAATTTTTCTTGTCAAAGTTTGGAGAAAAACAATTTAGAATAGCATATAATGATAAGATGTAATATGACAAAGAGCAAAGAAGGATGTGTAACCACGTATGTGTGTTGATTCCCTCTTATTTGAGCAGACAAATTTGATCTCCGAAAGTCTGAAAAAGAGGGAATTACCAACCTGTCCTTTTGGTCGTCCAAACAAAACTAGCCGTATGTGATCTTTTTTTATTAGTTTGGTAGTATTTGAGGGACCACTACTTCTATAGAATGATCTAGTAGAAGTAGAAGTAGAATTATCTAGGTGCAAAATTCTTATTAAAAAACTTGTGGGGTCTACTTTTATTTTTATTCTAGTAATGAAGGGAAAAAAAATAAAATAGTTGATGAAAGATAAGATTTTGCGGGCAGTTTGCTAGGTACGAGCCATTCGATTGTATGCTAAATTAAAGAGCAAATTATTGATAGCTTTGATCGACAACAAATGAATCATTTAATCATAAAAATAATGCATGTATCAATAATCATTACTTTATAAGAAATGTATATTTTTTTATATCAATAAAAAAGAAACACAATAACTTTAATTACTAGTTCTAACTACTTAAGTTGATCAAAGTTACCTTTTTGGTCTCACTACTTACTAAGACTGGGCAACGGACTGTAAGGGGATCATCGGATCGGAATGAATCGGTACCTTATTGGAATTGAACGAGTTGATTGGTATCGAGATGAATCGAACTGAAATTATCGGGACGAATATTCGATTTCGTCCCATCCCACTATATACCAGTTTGGATCAAAATGGAATAGGATGACACATCTAGTTAATTCAAAAAATGATTTTTTTGAATTACGAAAATAAAAATATTTTTTTATTTTTCTAAGTTTAAATTATTAGTTATTAAATTTATAATGTAATTTTTTATTTAAGTTTATTTTAAAGATACTTTTTAAGAAAAATTTACTTATTAAGTTTGCAAGTTAAGTCTAATTAAATTTTTAAGATTTAAATCTTTTGGAGTTTATAAGTTATTACTTATTATTTAATGATATTTTATAATTTATAAGTTACATTTATAATTTGTAGTTTCAGTAACTTAAATTTGTAATTTTAAAAAATTAAATAAAAATAAGGATAAAATAATTACACATTATAAAATATGAATTATAATTTATAAATATATAATATAAATTAATTAATAAATATTAATTAATCAAAACCAAATCGGAATAAATCGGTACCAAAACTTGATTCCGTGCTGTTCCGTGCACCGATTCAAGATGTTCCGTTCCGTCCCGTAAATAATCAAAACGATACCAATACATCTCGTTCTGTTGCCTAGTCTTACTATTTACTGATAGCTATGAGGTGTATGCCAAAGTTTGTGCTAATTTTTTTAGAATATATATTTGATTTTAATATTCCAAATTAAATCTATTGTTGTGTTCATTGCTTTGATGTGTGGATAACAAACAATAAAATATTTGATTGATTAACTTTTCAATTTTCATCACTTTCTGCAATACTTGTCTTTTCCATAACCTAAGGGAGCTTTCTAGGTATACAATTTCTAATAATTGACTCACACGCAGAGGACATTGGGTATGAGCACGTTTATTGGAATTACTTTATACTTCTATAGGAATTTTCATCTTTTGTCCAAACAAAATGTAAGAAGATCCAAACAAACGCTACAATAAAGATAAATTTTTGCGGCATTAAATATTGACATTAATAAAGAGTACTAAAGTCTTTACCGATATTGGTTAAGTGTCATTAGAACCAATGTTGCTAAAGGCTCTAAGGACATATACAAAGAGTGTTAATTGCTGCTAAAAATACATATATGATCATTTTCTATGTAGTGAAAGGTCTTTTGGGGTGACTCAGTTGTTTTGGAGGATGCTTATCCACACGGATAACCCGGGATCAATTCCCCTCAATGCCTTCTAAGTCGAGTCTGTTGCGTAAGGCTTGCCTAGTGCGATTTACATTCCTGTATAGTTTGTAGGCTATTACACAGTAGGGGGTTTATCTAATGTGCACAAAGTGCTCACCCGAAGGACAGAAATTGTGGCAGAATTTATAGTAATTACGAATTATTTTGGGGTTCCAAAAAATAGACCAAACAAAATTCCGTCCCCTCTCCCAGGCCCTGCAATAAACCAAGCAATGTCGGCCAGCGCGTGTTTGTGTAAGAGAGTAATATTAATTCTGATCGTTTTTGTTGTTGTTTGTTCGTTCGTTAGAATTCATATTCTTGATAAGCATGTGTGAAGGAGTTTGGTATCAATATGTCAGAGTTTTGAAATACATTCATATCGGAGGGTATATTAGTCTTATTTGTTAATTTAGACCATGCTCATTCCACGTGGCTCTTATGCAGACACCACATATACTTCTACTCATTGTTCTCTAGAACTTTAAATAACCATTGTTGTGCTTCTTTTCTCTAGTTTTAATATGTCTTAAAGTTCTTTATTTACATGGACGTAATGTATGTTCATATATTCAAGATTTGAATTACTATGTATTTTCTAAGATTTAATTATTGAGTTCAATTAATATTGTACCATCACACATGAAGTCTTGTATCACCATATTGATAGAATATTATAGAATCGATAATTCATGTTTTGATGATAGACAAGAAGCACAAAGAACAGTAGCAAATGTATGCAGCAAAAGAAGTCAAGCTAGAGTCCAAGATCAAGTAAAATAGAGTTATTTGTCAAAGCCAAAAATAATATATTAAAGGTACAAGTTAATACAAATAAGGAAAACCTTAAATATATTATTAAGAAAGGAAGTTGTGTGTAATAAGGATTGTAATTTAAAAAAGAATCCTTGTTTAAACATAACTTCCTTACCTTATCAGTAAGGATTGTACAAGGCAAAAACTCTATAAGAAGAGCACGAGGCAGAAGAAAAAAAGACGACGACTTCACGCAGAGAACAAGGGAGAATTATTCATCAAATTGAAGTCTTCAAGGTTGATAGGATTACTACGTTTAAAACATTCTTGAGTAAGAAGGTTTTATCGTGTAGAACTATTTGTCTTGTTTTTGTTCTTAATTGTAGTTTACAGTTTATTGTACAAAGGGTGGGTTTGGCTCTTTGTAGGGTTGAGTGTTAGTAAGAGTTGTAACAAAAGGTGGGTTTGGCCTTTTGGAGAGATCGATTGGAGTCAATCGAGGGAGTAGTAGAGATTAGACTTTTGATTATTGAGTTGTAATCACAAAATCTTATAGTTGAATTAATAAAACGAGGTTTTTCCTTCCTTGAGTGAGGAAGGTTTTTAATTCAATAAGTGTTTGTGTCTTTACTCTGTCTTTACTTAAAAGCAACTTACACGAACCTGGTTCGTGTTCTGGGGTAAGGTTTCTTTAATTGGTATTAGAGCAGGTCTTTTCGTTAAAAGATTCACACCTTGAAAAGACTCAATGGCAGCACCACCTACCCCACAAGAGGGAGCTTCACAAACACGACCACCACTGTTCAATGGAAAATATTATGGATGGTGGAAAAATCGTATGATGGACCATCTTATTGGTGAAAACCCTGATCTATGGGGAGTAATTCTAGATGGCCCAACCATATCTATGAAAATCGCAACTGATGAAATCACCAAAATCCCAAAGGAAAGAAAAAAAGGAATGTTGAAGACAAGCTTGCAATCCAAAACAATGCCAAAGCCAAGAAAATTTTGATCTGTGGCATAGGAACAGACGAATACAATCGAATCTCGTCCTGTCAAGATGCCAAAGCCATATGGGAAACACTACAAACCGCTCATGAAGGAACAACTCAAGTCAAGAAGTCCAAAATTGATAACTTGAACAGGCAATATGAGCTGTTCAGGATGACAGAAGGGGAGACTATTCAAGACATGCACACCAGGTTCACCTCCATCATCAATGAGATGTACTCCTTGGGAGAGATAGTTCCCAATGGAAAGGCAGTAAGGAAACTCTTGAGTGTCCTTCCTGAAACTTGGGAAAGTAAAGTCGAGGCTATCACCGAAGCCCACGACCTAGACTCACTGGCCATGGATGAGTTGATTGGTAATCTCATCACATACGAACTCAAGAAAAACCAAGAAAAGGAAATTGGAGGAAAAAGGAAGGAAAGGAACCTGGTTCTAAAGGCTACTACATCAGATGATTTTGAAGATGAAAATATCGTCCTCATAACCAAAAGATTTACCAGAATGCTAAAGAGAGGGCAGGCCTTTCAAAAGAAAACTTCTCAAAAACCAGCTGAAAACACTAAAGACCAGGTTTGTCATAAGTGTGGGAGCCCAGATCACTTCATCAAATTCTGTCCACTTTGGGCTTTAGAGCAGAAAAAGGCAAACTTTGAGAAGGGAAAAGGCATCAAGAATGATAAGTACATTCCCACAAACAGAAGAATGACCAATCAAGAAGCGGATCTTTCAACGAGAAGAGCCTTTGCCACTATGGGGGACTTATCTGAAGAAGAATTTGAGGATGGAGGGTTCGAAAATCAGTCACTACTTGCAATAGAACAATCAAATAAATATGATTTTCTTGCACTCATTGCTGAAACACATTCTGAAGATGATGAAGAAGATGACAAACAAATCAAGGTAAGTTTTCATCACATCAAAGTAAATATTGAATCATATTCTAAAAAGGAACTATAGTCCTTATTGAGTAATGTTATAGATGTATATCAGTCTGTCAATTCTAAAAGAGAACAAGTGATGGAAAACTATGCATCTTTAAGAGAAGTCAATGACAATCTTGAGAAACACAGTCACTTTCTTCAAAATAAATTAAAAGAACAGATTAAAATCTCAGAGTTAAGTCACAAGGGCAAAAACTCTGCTAGTGAACTTCAATTAGCTCTAGAAGAAAAAATGAAATTGTTAACCATAAAATATCAAGCTTTAAGAGAAAGGAATAGGTTGCTACAATAAAATCTTGATCATACCAAACTGGATCTGGAAAGAAATCTTAGATGGACCAGGTCCTTTGAAATTTTAACCCAGATTCAGGAAAAGCAAACCACTAGTCGAAGTGGGATAGGTTTTAAAAAACAGAATAATCTTGTGTCACACACTATTCACATGTCTAAAAGTTTATGCACTCATTGTGGAAACTCAGGTCATTTAAAGAATCAATGTAAAGCTTTATTTGAGGCTTTTCAGAAAAATGTTAAGTTCACCAAAAAGGAAAAGACTGATACGGCTAAGAACCTGGTTCGAAATAAAAATGCTTCAAATAAAAGGTTTTCTTTGCTTTTATGGGCTAGAAGAAATCTTATTCATCCTTTTACTCACATAAAGGGGCCCAAGATAATCTGGGTTCCCAAGACTAATCTTTGACTAGTGTTTCAGGTGAAGGTGATAGGGAAAAGACCAACTTGATACATGAATAGTGCATGCTCCAAAATGGTGCTAAAATGGTAGAAAATTTCCTCTCGCTCTTTGATTTTCAAGGAGGCAGTTTATTCCTTGAAAAGGATGAGAAAAATGAATTTTTTTTTGAAGAAAGTGACATGATATCAAACATCTTTGATGATGCAAATTTAGGGAACACTGCATATGAACCTGGTTCACAGCTAACAATCATTGATGCACCTGCAACATGAATTACTACTTATCTATGGTTTTGGAGATTGGGGGAATATTAGAGCAATCGAGACAGTAAGAGTATGGCACACCTTTGGGGGAACTTTGTTGTGTGAACATGGTCCTTGTTGTTCATTGGAAGGTATTAAAAATTGACAAGGGTTGGTTCTCTGTGAATTAGCTTGAGATTCATTTGATCTGGGAGAATATGATGATGCGACATTCTTGTGAAGGCCTTGAATATAGAACTTGAGAAAAATCAGTCAAAGCATGGTGTTATCGAAACAAGTTGATGCATTATCATGATTTCCTTTAATAATTGGCAAGTAAAAGAATAATCTTACGCTTGAGTAATTATATAATAAATATCTGCTAACTCAACCTCGTACTGTAACAGGTACACACTCAAGTCACATCTCAAACAATGCTTAGAAAGTTTGCGGATGTTATCTCTACTCTTTGCTAACACCATTAAGTAAATCATGAAGAAACAAAAAAAAAGGGAACCTGGTTTCTCTGTAATACTCAGGTATGTACCATCCTTTTTCAATGCATTAATTTCTTGAGTTTGGGTCAAACATAAGCACTAATGAACCTGGTCGATCATCAAAAATTCAACTTTCTTAAAGATCACCAGGAACCCTCTTTGACAATGAGCATCGTTCAATCTCAAACTGCTCTAATGATGAAAATCTCAGTATTGAAGTCACTCATGCTTTAATTTAGGGGGAACCTTGCTTTACCACCCACATCTGAACCAGGTTCACAAACTCCAAATTGATATTTCATCCATTCCAAATGTATAACTTGTCTATCTCTCAGGGGGAACAATTCTCACAGAAATAATTGTTGCTTGCTTTCATTATTGATAAACACATCTCTTTGTGCACCAAAATGTGATGAATCTCTTACTGGTAGTTGGTACTCCTTCAAAGTTGTCATCAAGAAAAAGGCTATAAAAAAAACAGGAAGAAAATTATGGAGGAATGAAAATGTTACGGAGTAGAGTTAAAAAAAAGGTGATGATGTATCTCATGATGAAATTTCACATTCTAAGAAAACTGATCAAAATAAAGAAGCTGGTGCACAATGGGCATACTGAAAAAAATTATCAATAGCAGTAAACATCCCTTTCTTCCTCACTTTAGTAATCTTTGTCCCAATCCTTATCCTCAAATTTAATACTCTTTTGACTCTTTGATGTGCTTATGTCTGTCTCATACTCATGATATTATATGTTTTTTATTAAAGGCATAAACTGGTACATATTTGTTTATTTCGTTTCTCATTGAATATATTAATTGCGTATGAGTTTAAGATGACTAATATCCTCAGATTAACTAACTATTGTGTTAGCAGAAGTGTACTTGAAAGTGTTGCCCAAGTGGCTATGAGTTAAAAAATGATATTGCACTCATTGAATGTTATTCGAGTTCTTTGGTTATTGGTTTTCAATGATGCCAAAAGGGGAAATTCTTGGGGAATGAGAAAACATGAAGTTTGTAGTTTTGATGGATGACAAAGAATTGAAGTTTTTAGAAGTGTTTGATGCATTTGAAGTACCATTGGGAGAAGGCAAGATTTTAACTCATGCAGATATGTTCAGTCAAACTATTCTTGCTGAGTGTGGAATTCCCATGGAGTCGGAGCAGGTTGCAAATGCTTCTCCACGTACATCTGGTCCTGTTGCTCAGTTACTTAGGGAACTCAAAGTAGCTGAAGAAAAATATGCAACTCTTGAGTCAGAAAACCAGAAGTTACGTGCTGAACTCCACACTTCAAATGCTGAAATTTACAGGTTGAAGGATCAGTTAGTGCAGCAACAACTTGCTAATAATGCAAGAGTTGACAGAGTTTTGGATATGTTGGCTTCTGCTCAACCAAGCCTGGACAACCTTCAAATTGAAAAAGCATCTTGTGTGAACCTGGTTCTCTTAGTTGTTTAAACTTATTATGCTCAACTGGCTGGGCTTATATTGTTGCTATGGATGTTGATTGGGTTTGTTTAGCCGCTGTTGGACTCTTTTTGATTTGTCAAAAGGGGGAAGAGTATTTGTGCATGCATCACACAGAAATATTTGTTTGTCTTCATAAAAAAGGGGGAATATGATAGAATCGATAATTCATGTTTTGATGATAGACAAGAAGCGCAAAGAACAGTAGCAAATGTACGCATCAAAAGAAGTCAATCTAGAGTCCAAGATCAAGTAAAATAGAGTTATTTGTCAAAGCCAAAAATAATATATTAAAGGTACAATTTAATACAAATAAGGAAAACCTTAAATATATTATTAAGAAAGGAAGTTGTGTGTAATAAGGATTGTAATTTAAAAAAGAATCCTTGTTTAAACATAACTTCCTTACCTTATCAGTAAGGATTGTACAAGGCAAAAACTCTATAAGAAGAGCACGAGGCAGAAGAAAAAAAGACGACGACTTCACGCAGAGAACAAGGGAGAATTATTCATCAAATTGAAGTCTTCAAGGTTGATAGGATTACTACGTTTAAAACATTCTTAAGTAAGAAGGTTTTATCGTGTAGAACTATTTGTCTTGTTTTTGTTCTTAATTGTAGTTTACAGTTTATTGTACAAAGGGTGGGTTTGGCTCTTTGTAGGGTTGAGTATTAGTAAGAGTTGTAACAAAAGGTGAATTTGGCCTTTTGGAGAGATCGATTGGAGTCAATCGAGGGAGTAGTAGAGATAAGACTTTTGATTATTGAGTTGTAATCACAAAATCTTATAGTTGAATTAATAAAATGAGGTTTTTCCTTCCTTGAGTGAGGAAGGTTTTTAATTCAATAAGTGTTTGTGTCTTTACTCTGTCTTTACTTAAAAGCAACTTACACGAACCTGGTTCGTGTTCTGGGGTAAGGTTTCTTCACATATATATTGAGTAAAATCATCAAGAAGACATAAGTATAATCACATACATAATCAAAATCATAAAAGGTGAAACCATCCTTACCATTATTCATAACATCGTACATGAAGGACTCTCACAAAAACTCCTCAAATAACCCAATTGTACAATGTATAGGTAAAATATCATGCCCTTACCTATACTAAGTAGTATGGGCTATATATGAGGTTACTTATGATCATGAATGTCTCCTTATCTTATAGTATGGATTGATTATGTCTTACTTGAATGTGCATTATGGCTTTTAACTTGAAATAACATGTTTTCTACTAAAAGTCCATTTTATGCATGTTTTAATGGTTTTAATTGCATGACTTCCATACTTGGTACAATTGATTGTGCTAACCTATATTTCTTCTATTTTTCTACGAAGTGTAGGTCCTAGCTAGTAGGTCCTTATTGTGGAGAATTGAAGGCTTCGATTGCATTCTTCAAGACTTATGTATGTCCTCAAGTTCCGAGGACAACATGATGTAACTATGTTCTTTCTTTGTAGTAGGTTACTTATGTACTCGTATTATGATACACTTTTATTGTAAAGGGCTAAGGTTCCTATTTGAAACTTCTATGTTGTTCTTGGATGGTTGATGAGATAACGTCTAGACGTTCTATTTTTCTATTGCAAAGAGTTTGACATTGATTGGTAAAAGTTTTAAATTTTCGCATTATTCAATGACTCATGCAATGACGTTTATGCTAAGAACTTGTATGAGACCCCTTCGGGATCAACTACGACGTCTTACAACTAAGGGTACTCTCGGATCGTGACACTTTTCAGTTAGAGAGTTAGAATCTAATAGGTTGTCTTTAATTCATATATTTCCTATTTCAATATTGGGTGTTATTCACATATTTCAGGTTTAGCTTCAATATGTGTATTTCAATTTTTTTTTGATTGATTTTGCAAATTCTAGTGTCATGACATGTCATGAGATTAGCTTGGGATTACTTGCGACTCTAAGCATCATGTCATGTTTAAGACATACACCAATGTTGTAGTTTGTCTCAAGATTGACCTTGTTCGACATAAGAATTTAAATTAAGTATGATTTATATTTTATTTTAAGCTAGAATATAGCGAAAATTAAATCTTATCTGACAGAATTTAATAGAAATAATTTATACATTGTAATTTCTATTTAATTAATCTCTACATAACTTAATTGTGCATAACAAGATATGGTACTACTAATACATATATAATTCTTATGAGCAACCAAACGACCTTGAGAGGCATGAGTCAACTTTATATTAAGGCACTAAAGAAATCGGGTAAGGCCTAACTATTTCCATTTTTTTTTCTAAAGATATATTTTGTATTATATTGTTGAAAAAGAATTTCATGTACTATTAAATTTTAAAAGAAAATTTTGGATTAAAAATATAATAACTTCTTATATTAGTTAATCTAGAAATTATTGTAATAATTGAGAAATGAAATAGTTTTTAGGTAAGTATAGTATCCTTCTTACGTGGTTATTTACTTTGTTGCCTCATTTGTGTATTGATAATTAACATGAACAATAATAAAAAAACTCAGTGAAATCACATTAAGTACAGTCTGTGAAGGACACAATGTACGCAGTCTTTATCATAACTTTGTAGAGATAGAGAGACTATTTTCGTAAAATCTTTATCTTAAGTGCATTAAACTCAAGTACAAAAAAAGAAAACAAGAACGGAGCATTATAGTTAATAAAATAAAGCAACATAAAATTTATAGAAAAGAACAGTAACATCAAGTAAAGTTTACATTATTTACATGATAAAGTTTACGAACACTTACGGTTCCGACAATTCACTTGTAAAATTACACTAAATATATTATTGTTCAATTTATTTAAAGAGAAAAGACATAAATTGACACCTGAAGTTGTCCCAAATTTTCAAAAAGACATCTTAACTATGTGGACATCCTATTACCGCCTAACCAATTTCGATAATATATTAATACATCATTTTTCGACCAATACCAGATTTTAAATAGCAAGTGGTTACCACACACCAATCATTATGTGACAAGTGTTAATTGAATTTGAAATATATATATATTTTTAATTTTAAGTTTTCTTTATTTCTCTCTCTTACTTTTTGATTAATTTTAATTTTATTACTTTAATTTTAATTTTCACTTTAAATTTTTTATCTTTCGCCCCTACTTTCAAGTTACCTCTCCTTTTTTTTCTTTTTTTTTTCTTCTTCACCTCTCACCCTCACCTACCCCACCCCTGCGTCAAGTTGTTCCATTTCTTCTTCTTCTTCTTCTTCAATCAAATTCCCTTTTTTCAAAATTATACTATTTTTAGTATTTGTAATATTGAAAACAAGACTAATTATTTTTTAAGAAAATTAAAATTTTGAAGGTATCATCAATTAATTTATCTCATTTCATATATCAAAACTAGAAATGATGATTTTGTAAAATCAGAATTCTCCGAAAATTGAAAAAATTTAAGTGAAATTTAGATTTTAAAAAATAAATAATACCTACTAATCATCTTGAAATTTTGTGGGTTATCAACTTGTTCGAAATGTAATAAAATATTTAAATATAATTTTAAAGTTGAAGAGAGTTAAACTAATAATAGTAAAAAAAGGAGTTGAAGTTGTGATAAAAATGATATTGAAAATGAAAAGTTACCATAATATTGACAATCAATTTTTGAGAAAGGAAAGAAGAAAAAAGAAAATTAATAAAGAAAAAAAATAAAACAATAAGAAAAAACAAAAACATATACTTTATAGCAAAATATTTATAAAAATAAAATTATATTTATTTTTTTAGTTTGTTCACGCTCTTTAAAAGAGTGCATACACTTTCCATGTCAGATGAATAAAAAATAATATAATAATACCAATTCAGGATTATTTAGAAGTGTAATAGAACATTTACATAGTTTAAATATTTTTATAAAAAATCGAGACAACTTCAAATGTCAATTTATACCTTTTCTCATATTTAAACGAAAGTTCCATTTCTTATGATTTGCATATTAAAAAACTAGTGTCAGATAATGAAAGGCGTGAGAATTCCTCGTAAGCTGCGTTCACTGCCGTTAAAGTAAACGGTAAGTTAGTAGAATTTTATAAAGATTAAAAAATTGTAAAAAAGGAATTAATTTGATTCCCTTGACGAAATCAACGCAGGCAGTACGAAACGACACCGTTTTAGTGGTCGTTTTCCCTTCCTAAGCACTTTTTCCAATGGCAAATTGTACGCAGAAGTGCAAATCTGAAGCAAAAATTCCAAAACAAAAAGTTGCATTATCCATATTTTACATATCGTAATGCATGAGTTTGGAAACTACAGAGATTGAATAAAAAATGAGGAAAAAATACATGAATTTGAGCTGCCCCCAATAGTGTTTCCTCTCTTAATCCCTTTTTTTAAGCACAAAAATGGCTGACGATTTTTGTTTTTTCAGCAAGGTTTGTTTTTTAATTTGTTTCCGCTTTATATTCACTATTGGGTTTGTTTATTTTGCGTTTTTAAATATTCGTTGGATGTAATTCGTGGTTTCTTGATTTGGGTGTACAAGAAATTTTGTTTATTATTCTTTGCTTAAAGTTTAAGCCTTTTTTTGTTGTTATTAGTATTCAAGAGGGAAGAAATCAGCTTCTATGTGTTAGTTTAGGCTTAAAAATTGTTTTAAGCTCAGCTTTGTACAATGAGAATCTGAGATTCTTATGCATTACAGAATTTTTTATTTTTTTTTAGTTGCTTAAAGTTTTAGGCCTTTTAATAGCAGTGGGGAGTAAGCTCAAGCATATTCTTTTGCAGTAATGATAGTAAACTGGCTCATTAAAAGAATGTATAATGGATATGGATTATCTAGGTTATGAAGTGCTTTGAGATAATTTAGACTGTAGAATTTACTTTGATTGAATGACCCCTTGAAGTGTTGTTTGATCTAGATTTTTTTTTGGTTATATTCTTATGAGGAGATCATGTTAGAAGTTGCAATTCTCGAGGGAAAAAAACTTGGAATAGGATGGGAATAAGTGGAGTGTGTACTTAGGATTG